GTATGCATAAATCCTAAAAACAACAACCCAGCTTGAATACAGAGAGTCCCTGATTAGAGTACAACCCAGAGAGAGAGAGAGAGAGAGATAGTCCCTGATTAGAGTACAACACAGAGAGAGAGAGAGATAGTCCCTGATTAGAGTACAACCCAGAGAGAGAGAGATAGTCCCGGATTAGAGTACAACCCAGAGAGAGAGATTAGAGAGTCCCAGAGAGAGATAGTCCCACTTTAGAGTACAACCCAGAGAGAGAGAGAGAGAGATAACTCCTGGATTAGCCTCCCAGAAAAAAAAAAGATAGTCCCGGATTAGAGTAAAACAAGAGAGAGAGAGAGAAAAAGAAAGAATAGTCCCGGATTAGAGTACAACATAGAGAGAGAGAGAAAGAAAGAGATAGTCCCGGATTAGAGTACAACACAGAGAGAGAGAGAAGAAAGAAGAAAGAAAGAGATAGTCACGGATTAGAGTACAACACAGAGAGAGAGAAAGAAAGAGATAGTCACGGATTAGAGTACAACACAGAGAGAGAGAAAAAGAAAGAGATAGTCCCGGATTAGAGTACAACACAGAGAGAGAGAGAAAGAGATAGTCTCTGATTAGAGTACAACAGATTCTTTTAAGATTCTGATATCAGATAGAACCCTAGAGTTTTGTTTTTTTTAGAGAGAGAGAGAATAGTCCTGATTATTTTGTACAACCCAGAGAGAGAGAGAGAGATAGTCCCTGATTATTGTTATTCCCAGAGAGAGAAATAGACATAATTTGGATTAGAGACAAATCTTTTTAGACAGATATAGAATAGTCCATATTAGAGTACAAAATGACCTCAGAGAGAGACAATTAAAGATTTTATAATTAAACCTTCATATGTCCATTTTTGTTAAAAACAAAAAGGTTTATAAAGAAAAAAAGACATAGTTTTAATTAGAGATATTTTATAGAGAGAGATAAAAAGAATTTTTATCTACAACAAATATTTTATTTAAAGAAATATAGTTAAAATTTAGTGGCTACATTTAAGTGTGAGAACTTTAGAGTGAGAGAGAATCAAAGAAAGAAAATTTTTTGAAAAAATTTTTCAGAGAGAGAGAACAAAGAGATAAAGGATTAAAAGAAATCTCTTTTAAATTAAAGAAAAACATAGAAATTAATTTTCAACCAGAAAGACAAAGAAAAATTGATAGTCATTTGTAAAAAAACGCCCGAGAGAGATTCTAAAGATTTCTTGAGGATTAAGGTAAATCTGGAAAGAGAGAGAGAAAGAAAGAGATAGTCACGGATTAGTGTACAACCCAGAGAGAGAGAGAGAGAGAGAGAGAAAGAGATAGTCCCTGATTAGAGTACAACACAGAGAGAGAGAGAAAAAAGATAGTCACAGATTTCCAACAACACAGAGAGAGAGAGAAAGAAAGATAGTCCCAGATTAGAGTACAAATACAGAGAGAGAAAAAAGAAAGATAGTCACAGATTAGAGTACAACACAGAGAGAGAGAGAAAGAAAGAGATAGTCCCTGATTAGAGTACAACACAGAGAGAGAGAGAGAAAAAAAGAGATAGTCCCTGATTAGAGTACAACACAGAGAGAGAGAGAGAGAAAGATAGAGAGAGTCTCTGGTTTTGTGTACAACCCAACAACCCAGAGAGTTGAGGGAGAGCATGATGAGTTTTTGATTTATTTTTCTTTTCTTTTTCCTAACCTAATTTAAGCAGACATTTTCCACAAATGTTTCAGCCTCAATAATTTCACGTTCCGTATTGTGTTATAAATGACTTGCAATTAAACCAGTCGGAGGTTGAAAAAAAAAAAAAAAAAAAAAAAAAAAAAAAATCACTAAGATTAAATAATGCAACATAAGACACCCTGAAATGAGAATCAGGTGCAGAAGAAAAAATTGAAATGGCATAGAGACATCATAAGAGTTAACAATCTTTCCACTGTCATCCTATGAAGAACTGCCGGCTGTAGGCAAAAGAAGAAGAGGTAGACAGGATAAATTTTCATCCACTGAAAGACGGTGACATAGGTATATATACAGTCAGGTCTTATTTGTGGAAGTGGTATTTTTTAATTTTATAGGGTGCTTAAAAAAATACTCATTTACCGAAAATATGACAGATTCATAGGTAATCTCACTCAGGGTGTTTTGTGTGTCTGCATTATTTGTGTGTCTGCATTATTTGTGTGTCTGCATTATTTGCACTGTTCCACTCATTTAAAATTGTTCTCGAGGCCATGGAGTAGAAATCATTGTGGGCCAGAATGCAGTTATTTTATAGCTATTGTATTTTATTGTATTATATTGTATAGTACACTATTTACATTATTTGGACTATTGAGGACACATGGCACAATGGATAAAGACGTTAGTGATCCAGTGACAGGACCCAAATTAGTGTGCGTTCAATACCCGGTTAAGGCAGTAGAGAACTTGGAGAGGAGAATTAACAGGAGACAACTGACAATTGACATCCATTACACATGGCACGTGGAACTAGAACAGTCTACCCCAGTGAGCAAAATAAAGAGTTCAGTTCGACATTCCAAGCACCTGAAGAAGGCCGGAGCATACAATGGCCGAAACGTTGTGATAAATATGGCAACAAAGATGAGGACAATAGTCTGAATAATGTAAATAGTGTACATAATACCTCATCTCAGAAATATAGACAGATAGTATTTATTAACTTTGAACTTATTATTTATTCATTAATTATTGAATTTACTTTTGTTTACATATGCTCTATTCCTGACATTGAGCACTTATAGCTATAAATATAGCTTATCATATTTTATATATTTTGTTTAAAATTAAAAATTTTTATTTTAAACAAAAAATATTATTATAATAAAGCTCTACTTCTGTCTGGAGCACTGTCTTCTTAAAAATAAAAACAAAAATACTAAGGAACTCCGGATTATGCACCCAACATGTTCTTTTCTATTTTCTGCATACCTGCGCACTTATATATATATATATATATAGGAAAACATTTATTAGACAATCTGGACTGGACTGTACTGTCAGAAATAATGACACATTTTTCTCTATTTTTACATAGAACTTGCCCTGTCAATTACCTTAGAGGTCTCAAAGGCTGTGTACATCAAATTTCATCAGCTTAGCCTATGTAAGCAGAAAGAACACATCATTCGTTCCTTGTGTTTGTTCAGGAGAATATAAGTAAAATATTTTCTATTTCTTTTTGGAACCTTTTATTATTTTTCTTTTAATCATCAATTTGTTTACAATTAAAATCTATTTTAATCATGTTTCAATTTCCCCTCCTCGTTTGCTATTTCTGCAATTGCGTCTACATTATTTTGTTCTATTTGCCAACGTCCAACTTTTAATAAAGTATTGGCCGAAAGGGTTTCCTTCCAGGCATAATTATGTTGTCTTTATTTAAATCAGTTTTCTTTTTCTGTGGATTCATTTATCTCTCTCTCATATATATATATATATATATATATATATATATATATATATATAATGCACATGAATACAAAGTCCTGATTGCATATAGATTTCTACACTGACAAAAGTGGGTTGTTTGTTTTTGTTTTAATCAGACACACACACACAAAAATATTCCAGTTTGTTTTCCTTCAAACATAGCAGATTCTAACAGAAGACATTCACATACAGAAGAAACTTTGTAGTTACATGGAAACATGTCACACACACACACACACACTGAACCAATTTTGCTGTCCATTAATTGCTGGTAGGGTAAGGAAAAAGGAGGAGTGGCTTAAAATCACTTTGGAGGCTTTCCAAATAAACTTTTCTTCACAGGTTTTTCTTGGCCAGCCTGAAAAAAAAAATTAAAAAAAAAAAAAAAAAAAAAAATGAAATTTGATTAAAATTTTTCAGTTTGTTTGAATTTTTAAACAATTTTTTTTTTTCTAACTGATTTTTAATAACTATATTTTTTATAAGATGCATTCTTATTTTGAAAACAGTTTTGCCAAGTAACCAATGAATTAAGCATTGATTGGTAATGTGGATTTCACATTTGGAATCCATTCTTCTTTTATGTGTCATGTCCCTTCATGATGTAAGCGATCATGGCCCTCCACATCTTCCTGTCCCTTGCAGCTCTTAATAAGTTTTGTCTTTTTGTTATTTTTCCCAAACCCTGTTCTACCATCCATTTCCTCAAGCCCATCAAGTATTTTACGTGCTGCTTTCCTCTGTCCCTCTTTCCCCTCAATCTATCTTGTGAGTATCAAATTTTCCAAGCCCTCCTTCCTCACCTCATTATGTGCCCCAGAAATTTCAACTGCCTTTTCCTAATGTTAAATATAAGTTTCCTTTTTGCTTCCATTTTCTTGAAAACGTTGTTGCTCACATGTTCGGTCCATGGTATCCTCAGAATCCTTCTGTAGAACTACATTTCTGTTGCTTCAAGTGTTTTTTTTATCCTTGAAGAGATTTTCCAGCATTCACTGCCATAGAGGAGGACAGATATCACATAACGGTTAGTTTTAATTGTTGGGGGTCTCAGCATTTAATGAAAGTTTTGATGGAAAATAGTGGAAAGTAAATCTTGACCTGTTCAGAGAAATTCAAATCCAATTCCACCTGTTCAGAGAAATTCAAATCCAACTTAAGAGCATTGAATAGAATATTATGGAAATATTGCTTTAAATTTGAATTCATTATTATTGTTATAAATAACATATTCAAGTGAACTAAACTATTCCTATATATATTATTAATATTATTAACAACTTTGGTTTAAAGTATACAAGCAGATTTTGGCATTAAATTTTAATTCTTCAAATCTAACATTCATCCTTGCATTGAATACTGTTGCCATATATGGTCTGGTTCCCCTGCTGTTCATCTCGAGGTCCTTGACAAAATCCAGAGATGGATATGCAATGTGATAGTTCCTGATCTGGCATCTCGTCTATGGTCACTTTCTCATTGACGTAATGTGGCTTCCCTCTGTCTTTTCTATAAATATTTTCATGGTATTTGCTCTGATGAGCTATTTTCACTGGTGCCCCGACTGCATGAATTTAAGCATGCTACTAGGTTGGCATCTCGGTGCCCCCTTTTACTGTTGAAACTGTTAAATGAAATTGCCTCTTCTACTCCAACAGCTTCTTCTCTCACACTTCCTGACAGTGGAACTTCCTTCTTATTTGCTTCCTTGATAACTATAAGCTTCAAAAATTTAAATGTAATGTCAATTGACATCTTCTGTTGCCTTGATCCCTGTTCATCTTTTTATCCTTTCCTCCACCACATCCCATACCCAGTCTTTTCTCTTATTTTCACTCTCTCTCTGTAACCCCTTGTGCACTAGCGGCATTCCTGCCTTGTTTGGAGTGAAATACTTACAAAAAAAAAAAAGAAAAAATTAAGAAAAAAATATATAGGAATACACATTCATACATTTTAGCCTATGAAAAGGAAAATGCTAACCAAAAGTTTGGCTCCCAGAAGCATTTTTGCTTTGTCTTCTTCTTGCTGCACATCTGTCAGAGGGACTTCGTTTGGCGCTCGAGAACGCATATGGAATTTCTGACGAAGAGCCTACAAAGGAAAAATCTTGAGAGTTTAAACAAAAAAATGCAGTGGCGCGTTTTATTTTGCACTGGGCAAATCTATCCCCATAGTCATTTTAGTTCTGTACAAACACTGTCCCCATACTCCATGTCAGACTGTATCCCCCTTCTCCAACAAGACTGCATTTTCAAGCCCTATATGCAAGAATTCCCTACACAGAAGAATGCACCTCCAGAAAATAATACACTTTGGCCTCACCACACAGATAAAAATGTGCTCCCACCAAATACACAATGCACTTACACCCCCATATACTTAAGAGAGTAGCCCCCACAAAAACGCATTCCAAATCGTCACAAAGACAGAAAATCAGTTGCACAAAAATGCACATGTACTTTTCCCCATGCAGAAGAATGTGTACCCCCTACACAAACACACACTCCTGAAAACAACTACACGAATGAAAATACAAAAACAAACATACATACATACACAAAAATCGTGCGTGTGTGTATAGTAGTGGCCACTGCTTACTTGGTTTTTAAATGAATATTGAAGCTCTGCCATTTCTTATAGCATTGAGTACTTTTATACCAGTAGGCTACTGTTGGGCAGAGCTGTTCATTCTTTCTTGGATTTACTGCTCTTCATTAATGAATTGAGCCCTCTGTACACATTTGTATATAACATGTTAGAATTTCCATTTCTCTGCCATGCGCTGATATCTTAGGGGTAGGATCTCTGAGTGATGCCAAATCTGTTAGGTTTTGATCCTGGCTTGAAAAAATTGGATGTCTAGCCACACTGATGAGCTGTGATACAGTGAAACCAGTTTGCATGTGGATGACTATATATATATATATATATATATATATATTTATTACTTTAATCAAGCCTGTGTCCCACTTTGCAGGAAAAACCACATTCTGATCCAATATGCTTTAACAATAAACTTTTTCCATTTTGTCATAAAATTTTTCCAATATATATATATATATATATATATATATATATATATATATATTTACAATGAATCATTCGTACAAAAAGTAGATTAGTAAAGTTAATGATATAAAATGGCGAAATCCCTTTGCAAACAAAATTTTACCTATAAATCACTTGATGAATGTTATGATCCTTGTTTTTAAAAATTATAAGCTGTATAAGGTCTTTCTTAAATACGCAAGTACTTTCAAGTGTACATTCAGTCATCTTCAGGCATGGAAATTATTTTGTTTTTGGTAAAATTTTGATACAAAAAAGTTAAATGCGAATTGAAATGTTTTTTTCTAAATTTGTTATTGTTGACGGATACAAACTTTTCGAGTGTGCAGTCCAATTTATTTTTAAGGTTGAATTTTTTGAAAATTTAAAAAGTATTCTTTTTTTTTTAATATGGCAATTTGAGAATTTTCTATTTTTTTGTATCCATTAACATGCAATAACACATTTAAAAAAAAACAAAACCAAATGGTTGGTCTAGGAAATCTAGGCTTCAAGCACTTTACTGAGTAGGTAAGTAAGTTTGGTTTTAGGTCTTTTTTTTCTCTTTCTTTTTTCAGTATTGTTATTTTTACTCGAAACTTTATCTAGACAAGAATTCTAGGTTTTGACAAATTGTCTGTTGGTTCCATCAATGGTTTTCTCATTCATATATATATATATATATATATATATATATATATATATATATATATATATATATATAGTAGGTCAATTAAATAAAAATCATAATATTGATAATAAGACTAATACTATTTATTGTATATTAGTCGTTTTTTTCAAATGGGAGCATGATGGGAAAGATGTTAAAATTCAGAATTTCCAGACATGCTTCTGCCCTTTAACAAGAAATCAAATATAAAGCAGGACATTTTATGGGGTTAATTTTGTTCTGCATGTGTTATATTACTGAAGAGATTTGGTAGTTTTGTGCTCGCTGTTTACAAAGAAATATTGCAAATGCCAAAATATCCAAGCCTACAACTGAAGACACAGAGACGAAGGGAGAGAGAGAAGAGAGAGAAGCTTGACCTACTTGGGCCAATAGAATTCTTTTGCTATCATTCTTCATGGTCATCAGGAGGTCAAACCAAGTCCAGATGCAATTGTGATATTCCAATGTTGGCAGCACCAGACTGAAATCATGCAAATCTTCAAAATTCTTTTCTTTTTCTCCCTGGAAGAAAAAGACAAAACAAAACAACAAATTAATACTTGTAAAATCTACAATACCCAAACATTTTTTTTCAGTCAATGCATGAAGCCAGTAGACAAAACAAAAAAGCTAATTTTATGAACATCTTCAATATAATAGAAAATGCACCCTCCCAACCACCACTCTTCTGAATACCGGTTAACACCTGACAATATTCTTAATAAAGGAGCAATTGTCATTGCTGAAATTTATCAACAAGAAATAAAGGTGGAAATGAACAGGTGAGACTCTAGATGTCTTCATTGGGGAGTGAAAATGTCGATAAAAGACACAATGATGACCCTCACATATGCATTTTGCCAATCAATGTAGTTTTGAGAATCTCCTAAATAAGGAAAACTGCAGTATCTGTCTATATCTCTAAGATGAGGTATTATGATTACTTGCATTATTTACATTACTTGGGCTAATATCCTCATGTTCATTGCCATATTCACAATGTTTCAGCTGTTGTACACTTTGACCTTCTTCAGGTGATTGGAATTTTGAACTGAACTCATTATTTTGTCCACCAGGGTATATTATTCTAGTTCTATGTGCCATGCTTCTTCCTCAAAGACACATGGCCCAGTGGATAAAGATGTTGGTTAGATCCAGTGACTAGACCCAATGAGGTGTGAGTTTAATACCAGGCCACAACAATAGTGAACCAAAAACTTGAAGAGTTGAGTTAAAGGGAAATAATGAGACATCCGGAAGAGGCATGGCACATGGAATTAGAACAATCTATTCTGGTGGACGAAATAAAGGGTTCGGTTCAAAATTCCAATCACCTGAAGAAGGCTGGAGTGTACAGTGGCCAAAAAGTTGTGAATATAGCAATGAAGATGAGGATAACAGTCCGAGTAATGTAAATAATGCAAATAAAGAAAACTGCAAGTTTCAGGTTCATATTGACGGTAAAACTACCTGATGGACTGAAGTAAAATCCAACACTTCTTAATGTACCATGTCGCCTCAGAACATAGGAAATCATGGCTCTGCACAATTTCATGTCCTCTGTAGCTCTTAATAAATTTTGTCGTTTTGTTATTTCTCCTAAACCCTATTCCACCATCCAATTACTCAAGCTCATCAAATATGTTATGCATTGTTTTTCCTCTGTTCCTCTTGCCCTCAATCTGTACTTGTGAGTATTAGATTTTACAAGCCCTCTTTTCTCGTTATGTTCCCTAGAAATTTCAACAGTCTCTTCCTGATGTGAAGTATGAGTTTTCTTTTTGATACCATTTTATTTAAAACTTTGTCGTTGCTGACACATTCGGTCCATGGTATCTTCACCACCCTTGAATTTAAACCAACAAAGTACAAAGGAAATATTGAAATCATTATAAATGTAAACTGAAAAAAAATTGTTATTTTAATAAATATTTAAAATGTTATTTTAATATGCATTTAATATGTTATTTTTATACGTATCTGAGGAATAAAGTTAACATCGCCATAACAATATCAGAATAACTGCCCCTTTTTCTTGCTGTAATCGTCATTTGATGAAATTTCAGATAGGAAAATATTATTACTTCATGTGGCTTAACCCTTCCAAACTGACTTTCTTTTTCACAATTGTTTTTAGTATTTCTTATTTTTATATTGATGACATCAAGAGACATTGAATAAGCAATTCTCCTAGAAGATCCAATGTGTCGAGAAATACAATTTCAGCTTTTAGGAGAAGGACAAATATATTCAAACAATATTATGTAGCAAACAAGTCAGATTATTTAGAGAAATTAAGAATTGACATCATTAACAAATATTTTCTTGGGACAGACAGACACACACACACATATATATATATATATATATATATATATAGGCAGCAACTTTTCATTAATGCATGTTTCATTAAATAATATTGACAAATTTTGTCTGTTTATTTTAAGTAAGTTCCTTTCATATTGTCTGATAAGCTTAATCACATCATTAAAAGATGAAAGGAAAACACCATATTGATACATGTTTAAATCTAATCTAAGCTTTTGGCTTACATAAGCCATTATCAAAGATGACAATTTCAATGTATCAAACAACACACAGACAAAGCAACAATGATAGTGTTCCCTTGCTGCATGAAAAATTTCAAAGCTACGACAAACCCGTGTATACAAGATGGCTTCCCATACTTAATATTTCGTGTTTTCCCTCTCGCGTGGTCATATGTGATGTCACGAGCTGAGACATGATTTTTGCTTCCGTGTTTAATGGCATACCAATCATTTATGCATTTAGTGGTATACCAATCATTTTTGCATTTAATGGCATACCAATCATTTATGTGTTTAGTGGCATACCAATCGTTTGTGCTATATAATATTCAAACCAGTCATATATGGTAAATCAATGAAGGAAGAAATATTTACCTTGTAACTGACTTTGAGTGAAACTTCAGGGATTTTGATGTACAAAAAGGTATTGTTATTTTCTGCTCTCTCCTGAGGAAAGAAGAAATTTTAAAAAATCAAATCAACTGGCTTTAAATCTCAACAAAAAACATCTGTTTTTTTTTTGTTTTCTTTTTTCTTGTCATTTATTTTGTTGCTTGTTATTTCAACATAAAGCATTCTTGTCTACCAAACACAAATGCCACAATTATTAAATTATTTCCTTCAATTCACCCACCCCCACCTAATGGGGTTTATTTGGAACATTTTTGGAATAGAAGTAGAAGATTTTTCCTTTTTTCCTGTTTAGAATTGGATTTCCAGTTTCTTTTAAAGTCTTCTCATTCTTTTTCACTCTCAGTAAGCCCTTGCGTCATAGTGGCTCTAGTGCCTTCCTTGGGGTGAAATGATTAAAACACCAAAAAACAAAACAGCACACTTATTATTTTTCATATAATTTTCGCTGTGGTACAATTTTTTGTTTCCCGTTTATATACAAATGTCCAATGGAACATTTATTTATATTAGTACATTTGTTTTTTTAACTTGAAAAATTCCCAACCATGCAACTATGCCAGATAGTACTTGTATTTTACACAAATAAATACTTCTAAAAGATTCCCACTGGTATGTCTAATCTGAATGATACTTTTATTTGGAAATCATCTGATGAAGCCCAAACAACACAACAGTTTATGGTCTGGTGCTCTGGCTGTATATTTTGAGATTCTTCAAAAAAATCCAAAGAACTGTCTGTTATTGGTCATCACCGAACATCTTGACTTCAGTCATTTTCCCATCACCATGACATGGCTACTCTCTGTCTTTTCTATAAATATTTTCATGGAAATTGTTCTGTTGAGTTCTCCTTACTAAAGTCTACTCATTCTCTTTCACTCTCAGTATCCTCTGGCATCTTAGTGGCTTTATCACCTTGACTGAGGTGAAATGAATATAAAAAATATGTATATATCAAGAAGTACAGAATTTTACATCTAAAAAATTTTTAAATATTACCAAAAGTTTTTCCAACCAAGATAGACATGGTCAGAACCTCTCCTAACATCAAAATAATCTTAAATCTAAAACTGTACTTACCTTCGTTAAGTATGTATCCCACTTACCTTCATTTTATCAATATCATCACTGGATGTATAACTCTGTGCATTTCTTTTTGAAGAAATAACGCCTCGGTCTTTGAGGGAGCCTTTTTTGTCAGTTTTACGACGTTGAGGGACACCGTCATCAGATTCTGCATCTAGAGACAAACACAAAAAAAATGGAAAATATTTAAAATTCATTCACTGTAAACATGTTTTATTCTGTGAATTGTACAGATGAACATTTTCACCATTTTCTTTTTTTTTACTGAAATTCATTCAATACAAGGCTTAAGAGTTACTCAAGGTATTGAATGAGGTGTTTGATATGAACATAAGAATCAGTAGAAGGAAATGCGAATGATAAGGATAAGGAGGATGGATAGTAATTGATTTGTGATTAAGATTATAATGCTCAAGAATGTAACCATGTGTTAGTTTGTTTGGCAGAGCATAACAGGGCAGTGGCCTGACTGTGTCATATTAGTGTATGAACTATTGTTTGGGGATTTAGTAATTCCAAGTGTAGGACTAGAGATAAGAGAATAAATTATAGTGGTTAATTGGGTTGGAACCTGATGGGAAAAAGTTTGGTTTCAAAATATTAATTTAAACCAATAAAATACTTATGAGGAAGACATCAAAAGGCTTTGAATGTAAAATAAGTCAGTGTAAGATTCATTAAAATCCAGTATAAATTAAATTCCCTGCCTAGACCCACAGCCTCAAGGAATCATGATTAATATGTTTTCCAAAATTCTTCAAAACCCAAATGGAATTGTGAAATGTTATTTTAAAAGACAATTCAGCATATATGCGTAGAAAAAAAAACAAAAATGGCTGGTCCTGAGTATTTTAGAAGCATGAGTCACATACATTATTAATAGGAAGTTTTTTTGTTTAACAAAGATGGTCTTTGTATGGATGCCAAATTAAGCAGTCTCCATTTGGATAGTTATCCTTATAAGTGCGCACACACACGTCTCTTTACTCAGTTTGTGCATGGCAGCCAAGAACCACACTGCCATACATTTTTGTCAAAATTCCAGCAGCAGTGAAGTTTTAACCATTAGATATCTCTAAGTGCCTCAAGAGAAGAAAAGAATTTACTGAAGTCAGACCACATAAGAGTGTTGCAACTTTATATTTTCTCATCATTAATTGTTGATAACTTTATCAACAGAGTTTGTTCATTCAGCTAGAAATTTCTTGCCTTTAAGGAAAGTCATCCAAATTAAGAAAGTGAATAAGATTAAATCATTGCCTGAACCACAAACAAAAACCATGGCCTGTTGGAATAAATAAAACGACATCACATTATTCATTTCCAATTAAGAGATGGTTCCATGCTCCTCAAAACCTCCAATCTCCCAATCAGAGACCTTGCTGCCAGATGTAGTTTATCGTCATACCCAGGACAGTTTATTAAAGAAGGTAAGTATTTTCTTAGCAAACACTTGACCTCTGTATTGATATATTTCTGCAGGGCATCCATCAATTTCAGAAGTTTTATTCAGCTTCAGTGATTTTATAGTATCTCTGAGCATTGAGATCTACTATAGAAGGCTGGTTGAGAAGGACATTGAAATGATATTTCCACATGTCAGCAATAGCCGATTTTTCTGTGATAAGCTGACCTTCAGCACTAAGAACAGAAGCAACAGAAGACCTCTTGTGTCCCAAAACTGTCTTGAAAGCAGCATAGAAACCATTTGGGTTTGATTGGATCTCATTTACCTTCTGATCCCATCATCTGTCTCTCGTCTGTCAGAGTTTGGGCTGCAACAATGTATTAAGTGGTTTATATTTGTCCCACTAAAAAGGGAGATCAAAGGCCTGAGCTTTGTTATGAGCAGACCAGCACAGCCCTAATGGTACATCCACCCTCACAATCATTGCTATCAAACCAGCCTCGGTGTTTGCTTGAAGGCTGACCAAGAAGCTTCTCTATATATTCATAAACCAAGGAAGTGAGAGCTTTCTATTGGTTACTGAGTAACTCCACACTTGTGGAACTCTCTTCCGACTTCTTGCTTTCCTGTCAACTTTGATCTTCAAAAATTTCAATGCAATGGCAATAATTATCTACTGTCTTCCTGATTACTCTTCTATTGTTCTCGCTCAATTTTCACTTGTGGAACTCTCTTCCGGCCTCTTGCTTTCCAGTCAACTTTGATCTTCAAAGATTTAAATGCAATGTCAATCGTTATCTTTATTCTTAATTGCTGTTCTTTTAATTTCTCTTTCCTTAATGTTTTTCTTTTTCTAATATTCTTTCATGCTCAGTAATCCCTGGCAACTTAGTGGTTTTGTTGCCTTGATTAAAAAAGAAAAGAAAAAAAAATTAACCTCAATAGTGGCTAATGTTGCCATAGCAACAACTTTTTCTTTGTGTTTTTGTTTTAATAATTTTCATGCAGTAAAATGTTAACACTTGAATAAAAAAAAAATTTCAACATCTACTGTAGAAACCCAAGTAATTTATGCATATTTTTTTGCAAAAATAAAAATAAATTTAGGTGGGGGGTAAATTACATGTGTAGATTGTTTCCAGGATTTAAAAAAAAAAATTTTCCTGTTGAAAAAAAAGACGTACAAAATGTAAACATTCATAGCCGAAGTTGAACCATTTATTGTCAGAATAAGTCTTTTATGGGCAAGTGGCCAAGTGGTTAGAACGTTTGCTTTCTGACCATGAGACCTGGGTTTGAATCTCACCGTGATTGACTTGTCAGGTAGGAGACTTCCTAATGTTATTGGTCTGGAGGGGACCATCCCAGAGTGCCACACCTTTGGAAAGTGCCTGAAAAACATACCACAGGTTAACCCAAGCCTTGTGAGTGAAATTTAGTAGATGGAACCATTGGAGGCTGTCGATAGCTGTACTAGCAAAAAGTCACAAGTCATCGTGGCTGAGGGCTTAAGCGTGCTGGCCTTGTTCAAATTGTTGATCACGCTTTTTCCCAGAAACTGTAATTAAGGCCTGCTCAGCATAGTTGCAGTATAAATCACAGGTTGGCTCTGTGAGTGTTGAACAAACACAAATGCGCCTGAATAAGTGTCTGCAATAAGGATTGGCTGGCTACCCTAGTAGACAGGTACCCTACAAATGAGTGGGCAGCTATACAAGTTTTTTTTTATGCTGAATAGTATAATGTTTACTTTTACTGTATAAATTTACTAAAACCATTAAATGGTGAACTATTTTTTGAAGTCTGATGTTCATACTGGTAATCATGATTTGGACCATATTTTGCATTGTTTGGTGTTTCTGCCTATCGCAATGGAACACCATTGACATACATAGGGTAAAATAAAGTTTATTATAATCAACACAAATACTTTGTAATTTAATATCTTTTAATGTGATACTTACCTTAATAAAATTTTATTGTAAATAATTGAAATGATTCTAAATACAATTAAACTGAAAACCTCTCCCCCCTGGGCATATCAGCAATTCTGAAAATTTGGGGGTGTGAATTTTACATGAGTAGAAGACTTTTTTTTTAACAAATTTTATCCTGAAAATCACTTGCATAAATTACACAGATGCATAAATTACATGGGTTTTAACAATAATTGTTTTTCATGTACTTTACTTTTGTCGGCCATTTTATATCATTTACCTGTTTTGGTTCTTGTTGCATTTATGATCATAATTCAGTGTGGTTTTATTTTTATTGATGAGATCAGTGTAAACAATAAAGAAATACCAAGAATTTATCTAAAAATACATGAAAAATGAGTTTCAAATGCAGACTTGCCTTGCTGGTCATCAATGTCAATGTTTCTCTCTGGGAAAAAGAAGACCATCATGGCTTTAAAGAACTGGTACGTCAGCTGAATTTGGAGGGGTACCACATTTACCTCAAAGTGTTCCTTCACCGCTATACCACCCACTAAAAGACATAAAAGAACTTTTATTAATTCCTACAAGAGAAAGAGAGAGATTATTTGATGGAGACTCTAAACAGTACAAATCTGAAAACACTTCAGTGAGGAAGAAATAGATTGAGTGGAAATAAAATTCTATGAAAAGGTAGCACAATAAATACACAGTCTACAAAGGTAAAGTCATTAAAAATTATTTACATTTGGACTAATATCCTTATCTTTGTTGTTATCATCAAAATGTTTCAGCTATTGCACCCTCTGGCTTTTTTTCGAGTATGTGTCATTAAACAGTGACCCTTTTTGAAGTATGTATCATTAAACATTGGCCTTTTTTGAAGTGTGTGTCATTAAACTCAGGCCTTTTTTGAAGTATTTGTTATTAAAAATTGTTTCATTGTAGGAAGTGATTTTATTTCTGCATTATCAACACAATGAACTGTAGAGCAATTGGCAATGGTTAAATGTATGTAGTTTCTTCTGACTTGTAATAAAGTTCTCTAATTCATTTCTTTCAACCAACAGAGTAGCGTAAATCAAGCAATCCAACCTTACATGTTTTCTGTTCACCACAGCAGTCATACTTCTGTCTGTCATCTCTTTAAGCTCTTTTTATAGACTGAGTGACAGTTAATATTTGCTTATGTTAAGAGTTCAAATTTGTTAAAAGACATTCTTCTGACTCTAAGATCTATTTTGTTTTAAATATATAACTCATGAATTTAAATGCAATATCAATCGTTATATACTGTCTTCTATTGTTCTTGCTCAATTTTCACTTCTCGAACTCTTCCAGCTTCTTGCTTTCCAGTCAACTTTGATCTTCAAAAATTGAAATGCAATGTCAATCGTTATCTACTGTCTTCCTGATTACTCTTCTATTGTTCTCACTCAATTTTCGCTTGTGGAACTCTCTTCCGGCTTCTTGCTTTCCAGTCAACTTTCATCTTTAAAAATTGAAATGCAATGTCAATCGTTATCTACTGTCTTCCTGATTACTCTTCTATTGTTCTCACTCAATTTTCGCTTGTGGAACTCTCTTCCGGCTTCTTGCTTTCCAGTCAACTTTCATCTTTAAAAATTGAAATGCAATGTCAATCGTTATCTACTGTCTTCCTCATTACTCTTCTATTGTTCTCACTCAATTTTCACTTGTGGAAGTCTCTTCTGGCTTCTTGCTTTCCTGTCAACTTTGATCTTCAAAAATTTAAATACAATGTCAATCATTATCTACTGTCTTCTTGATTCCTCTTCTGATGGGATTTTATTGGTTAAAAAATATATATCGGATTTAATTCCTTTTTTTTCAGTATATTTTCTGACATAAAACTTTTACTTCCCTATTCTTCTTTCTCACATGAGTCTTGCTTCCACCCCCCTACATTTTCTCTGTTCTTTTGTATTTCTACCTCTTGTTGTGCATGTTCTTCACTAGGTGGAGCTACCAATCTTTGTCTATACAACAACAGTCATTCTTTTTTATTTATTACAGAGTGTTACAAAATATGAGTAAAAAATACTATTAAAGAGAGAGGACAATAAAAGAACAAGAATTAAGAATACAGAAGATAAAGATTGAAATTGTATTTAAATTTTTGAAGATCAAAGTTGCCCAGGAAGCAAGCCAGAAGAGAGTTCCACAAGTGAAAAGTGCAAGAGAGGAAACTGTTAACATAGAACTTAGAGTTAGATCTGGCCATTTCAACTGTAAAATGATGAGACCTAGCTGCCAATCTAGTACTACATTTAAATTCATAAAGTCTAGGTTACCATAAAGAAAAACTCATTGGAACAATTACTATGAAAATATTTATAGGAAAGACACAGGAGGGAATCTACGTTACAGCAGTGGGAAAGTGACTGAAGTTGAGATGTTAGGTGAGGACAAATAAAATTGCAGATTCTTCTTTGGATTTTATCAAGAATCTCTAAATATATAACAGGAGCGCCAGACCAAAAGCAATATTCAAAGCATGGATGAATGGTAGACTTATAAATATGTAAGATAAACTTTGTTTAGAAAAATTGTCTAGCACAACACATAAACCAACTTTCATAGCAGTTGATTCAATATAATCTTTCCACTTTATGTAAGCATAAAACGTTAGTCTAAGAAGGTGCAAGGAGTCACTCTACTGGAGGTTAGCATCAGCCATGCTGATAGAGGGTAAAAAAGGTTCTCTCAGCTGATTAAAAGAGAGAAGTTTCATTTTGGAGAAAGTAAGAAAGACCTACCTGTGTAAGAGGGGATGGACATGGCTGCTATGGCAGAATGAATAGAAGAAATCTTACCTGGGGGCCTTTCACTACACACAATTCGCAAAGTCATTTGTTTGTTTTCTCCTTCTTGGCCGAGTGGACGAGGAACCAAAACATCCTGAACAAGCACCCAACATGAAAGTGAAATAAAGGAAAAAAAAATGGCCATAAGGAATGAGTAGGAATATATTTAAGCACTTTCAAAATATAAACAGGAATAATCTTTTTTTTGGCCTCTGAAGAAAACTTCAAATTATTTTCCATTTTAAACAATATATTGTTTTTAAATATAAAGAATTAACTTTTCAAGTTTGTAATGAAACAAAAGTAATGAAGTGTCTTCCAAACAATAGCTCTGTAGTCAGTGCAGAAGTGGTTCGTTAAAGACTATAAGAATCTACTTGAAAATCCTTGTTTGGCACTACATGATCATTATATAGGAGTCAGTGTGCCATAAAACCACATTCAGAATGAGAACCTTGGAGATGGGATTAAAGAATTTGAGAATCTACTTGAAAATCCTTGTTTGGCAATATATGACCGTTATATAGGAGTTAATCTGCCATCAAGGACATTCATAATCATAGCCCTGGAGATGGGACTAAAATCTATAAGAATCTGCATGAAAATCCTTGGTTGGCCTGATATAACCATTATATAGCAGTTAATGTGTCATAATACCCATATTCAAAATGAAAACCTCAGAAATAAAATTGAAAACTTGAAAATCCTTGTATGGCAAGACATGACCATTATATAGCAGTTAATGTGCTATGAATTAGGCTTTTGATGTCAGAATGACAAGCAAAGACAAAAAAAATTGTCATATATTCAGACTCCATGTCAGTACTTAGAGAACTCAAAAATGAAAAAATAATAAACCCACTAATTATAAAACTTAAACAAAATAGAATATTTGTCAACATATAAAATGATATAATTTTCTGCTGGATACCTAGCCATATTGGTATCAAGGGCAACGATAGGGCTGATTTGGCAGCCAAAAAAGCATCAACCACCAAGGATACATTGTGCAGTGGGTAAATTGTTGCCATTAGATATTTTAATTTTGTGCATTGTTTTTGATTTTGTCAGCTGCACAGTATACTCAAGTCAGTTGGGCACCATCTATAAGAAAAATAGCAGCATGTTGCAATTCACTCTGCCATAAATTTGGAATTGGCATGATGTATTGCTTGGTATTTACACTGGAAGCACCAATACGGACATTTCAGAGTGATTAGTTGTCAATCTGAGGACAGTGTATTCATAAAGAGTTGGATAAAATATCCAGTCAACATCATGGTGTTTGAAGTAATCACTAGTAATGGCAACATTATACCTCCATTCATCTTCCCACAGGGCCTCAGACTCAACACAGAGGCCTACACCAAGTGCCTTGAGGAGGTAGTGCTGCTCTGGGTCAAGAGGGTGGCTGCTGAAAGACCCTCTATCTGGCAACAGGACTCTGCACCATGTCACACAAGCAGGAGAACCCAGTCATGGCTGTCAAACAATTTTTGTGACCAAATCACCCCATACATCTGGCCACCGAACTCACTATACTGTAACCCCCTAGATAATTATGTGTGGAGGACAGTTGAGTGAGAGACCAACAAAACTCTCTGTAACACCAAATATGAACTAAAGGTAAGAATTATGGCAGCATTCATCAACTTAGGCAAGGAGCCCGCTCAGAAGAGTTGCAGGAGATTCTGAAGTCATTTCAAGTAATTTACTTTCCTTTATTCTGGCAATCAGATAAGTATTTGTAGTTTTAAAGCCAAGCAATACACTGAAATAAATAAAATTGTTTGACTCACCTTGTAAATTGGATTTGGCAAGAGATTGGTCATACGAACCCATCCTAACTCCAACTGGTGAGTCCATGTGTCATTGTCCCGATTCACTTTTGTATAACTAAAATCAAAGAAAAGGTTATTTCTTAAGATTTTTGAACAAACATTTGAAATGAGAAATTATCATTATTATAGTCTTTGGTACTTGGACCAGTATCTTCATCTTGGTTGTTATGATGAGCCTGCTCGTATAAGTAGCAAAGCTTATACTAAATATGGTTGTTTTAACATATGCTCTTCCTAGAAGTTTTAAAAAATGACAATTCAACAAATTTCTAAAATTCTGAAGTTATCTTCTCCCACTAACACAAATTTTGATACACTTTGAGACATAAATACAAAATATTTTCACAAATTGCATACAAACATACATAGCTGTCTTTTTTTATTTTTTTTATTTTGCACAAAACATGGTGGATCCTGCCTAACAATCAGTTGGGTTTGGATCATGGCTTCAGACAATCGGATGTCTAGCCACACTGATGAGCTGTGATACAGTGAAACATTCTGTCTGTGGATAACACACATAAAAGAAACCAAAAATATAATTAATTAGTGATTTGTTATAAGCACAAATCGGAATCTGTTAAAGTAGCAATAGTTGCCCTATCAAAAGCTGGTAAATCGACTCAAGAAATTACAAATAGTTGATTGAGAAGTCTTGATACTGTCTCAAGGATTTTGACAAGTGATGTAATGAATATGCATATGTTCCCCTTCACAGTAATATGATTGGCTGGTGTCAGCCATAAATACAGACTGATATGGCGGTACAGGGATGAGGCCTATTGGCTACACATATTGCCTATGCCTATTGCCTACCCCTTTGACGAGGACCAGTCCATTACGGTAACCTGCTAGATTGTTCTACTCGGTTACAGTAGTCCAAAACCACTTTGCTATTTTGAACAAATATATCCCTTTCTGAGACATATCAAGAAGCTTCAATTCCAATGAAATAATTGTCAAGGTAGAAAACAGGGGTAGAAAACACAAGATTGAGAGAGAACCAAAACTGGTCAGTTACCAGTACAGAAATTGCTGCTACCTTGAAAAATGATCTCAAAGTGTCAATTCCTCTTCTGTATGCAGATGGCTCTTGAACGAAGATTACAAAGCCTATTCAAAAGTTTTTAAGCCACTGCTAAATAAAACACATAAGGCTAAATGGGCAAACACATAAAGTCCTTCATGGAGTCTGATTGGAAAAATGTTCTTTTCTCTGACGAGATAAAAACTGAAATATTTTGAAGAAAAAGAACGAAAATTAGATGGTATAGCAAAGAAAACCCTTTGAAAATGATGGTTAATACTGTGAAGCATCCTGTCAATTTTATGGTTTGGGGTTGCTTCTCATTCAGTGGAACTGGATTTTTCAAACCAGTAGTCAAAACATTGAACAGCACTCAATACTCAAAAATATTGGACACCCGCTTGCTGCCATCTGCCAAAAAACTCGAAATTGATCAATCAAATCTCATTTTTATGCAAGACAATGCTCCCTGCCACACATTAAAGCAGATGAAAAATTACTTTTCTGGAAAAAAACCATCAATGTTATGGTATGTCCACCACAGTCTTCTAACCTAAACCCAATTGAGAACTTATGAAGCATAATAAAATTGAGACTTTTGAAGCTTTTATTGAAAATTTTATTGTGGAGTGAAACAGTTTGCTACAAGTTGACATCTGCAAAATTCTCATTAAGAGTATGCCAGACTGAGTCAACAAAATTCAGAAAAACAAAGGTGGAAGCATAAATTACTAATGAAATTTTTCTTTTGTGTTTTTATTTTGCTAAATTTTATTTTTTAAGAAAACATTAGATTAACTTTGTACATAAAAAAGTATAAAAATTGAGTCACTTTTTTTGCACTGTAAATATTTACCTTAAAAACATGAAATAACATGCTTTAGGTTTGTTTCTTAAGAATTTTTTTGTAAAATTGCAGACAATGTATCATTTCCCTTACTTATACACAATTTTTTTTAAAACTATTTTTTATCTAAAATATTAAAAAGAAAACAAGATTTTTTTTCCCCAAAAATTTGACTGAGTCATTTTTTTTTTTGCACAACACTGTTATTGAAAGTTGCTTCAGCATGAAACTGAGTTGTTTAATTAATGTAAGATATATATATATATATATATATATATATATATATATATATATATATATATATATGAAAAATATAGTTTTAAGGTGTGCTATATTTATGGGATAAAGTGCTCAATATTAGAGATAGAGCGTATGTAAATATAAATATAAAAGTGAACATTGAAGTCAACACTCAGAGGTGACAGACTGTTTCATGCTACACACAATCGTCAGGTTGCTATATACATATATATATATATATATATATATAAGTGTTAGAGAGTATAAGAAAAAAACTACTATTAAGAAGTGAGAACAATAAAAGTACTAGAATTAAGAAGACAGAAGGAAACAATTGATATTGGATATAAATTTTATTACCATATACTCAAATGTCTAAGTATTCTCTCAAAAGATGATCCCCTATGAAGGGGAGTACTCCTCCAAACAATGGATGCCGTCAACATATTTTGAATTCCCACCAACAGGACAAGAATTTATTTTATGAAACAGAAATCCTTAAAAACTTACACAAAGTTTCTCAAGACAAGGTCTGCAATTCCAAGTTGTCCATCTGATTCGGTCAATCTCCATTGAGCAAATTTAAAGCAGACTTCATTTGTCCGGACCACTTGGGCTCCATAGGCTGAAAGACAAAAGCAAAATAAATAAATAAAATAATCAAAGTCACATCATTTTAAATAAATTTGGGGATGTGGATTGATATCCATGTTTAACAGGAGCACTTAGAAAACTTGTTTGAATTTATAATAATGAATATATATATATATATATATATATTATAATTTAACCGATTTAAAATAGAGTTTCTTTGCTACACAGGAATTACCATGTTTCAAAAACCAAAGCTAAAATCTTCAAATTTAATTATTTAATTAAATTAAAAGCATTAGTTCTGTTTCATCTTCAAGTGAATTTTGGAATAACTTATTTTTCAATTTACTGAGTTTTAAACGCACATATAATTCATAATTTCTTGTTTCCAAGAATACAGAGAAATCCAATCATTTAGACAGGGGTGGTAGTGTATTCATTTTTATAACTGTATCAATTATGAGTTACATTCAAAAAAGAGGTTAAGTTTAGGGAGGGTAGGGGTGCATTTTTCAACAAATTTTGACATCCGTTCAACGCATGTCGTCTG